ATCTCTCCCTTCCCCGATACACTGACAAGTTAAAGGACACAAGCTCTGGTTGTCTCAGTAAGATGAAACAAATGGATTTTGATCGATCACCTGGCTCTGTTCTCCAAGGGCACTGACCCCTTCCCCCCTCCAGTGAGGGATGGGCGAGGACCACAGCCTGGGAGTTAGGACTGCATGTTATATTATCTCATACAGTTTCTGGAAGTGAGATGACACAGGAGGTCGTTGCTTCTTATTTCAAGGGTAGACCAGTGACCTTTCCAAGTCTCAAGTTTATGCTGATACTTGCATTGTAATAATAGCTTGCCCGAATTCTTTTCTTAGCTCACTTTAATGTAAGAGCTACTTAGTCGATTCTATCACTTTTTTAACTGAGCCACCTGTTATTTATTTATTTATTTTTGCATTCAGTATGCTCGTGTCGTAGCCTGCCCACCACGGTGTGTAATCCCAGAACGACCACGTCCCTGCGTCACAGGGCTGCACAAAGCGCTGGTAACAGCCACATCGAGACGCGAACTTGTGGCACCAGGCCTTTATAAAATCGTATTTAATTGATCAGCTCTTCATGTTTTGTCAGTTTCTTAGGCCATGGGGTCTACATTTTCAAGACTTTTGAGTTTAATCACCTTTCTTTATTGGAAACATTTTCTTTCTTTGATGGATTTACAATGCTGATAAAACAATCTCACCCAAGATTCAGTTTCTTTTCTTTTCTTTTTTTTTTTTTGTGACAGGATTGTATCCCATCTAAGCAAACAAAAAAGAGATATTTAAGTGGCAAAAGCATAATGGCTTGCATTTACAGAGTGTGCACTGTGTACCAGGTCAGGGCTAAGTGGTTTACATGCAATAGTTCTGTTTTCCTTAGCCAGCCTCATTTTAAATTCTGGACCACAAATCCCAAATGGGGAGTCATCGCCATACTTCTTGCTGCAATTCCTAGGATGTTCTTTTTCCCACTCTCTGCAGTGATGATTTCATACACCTCTCCTCTTCTCAAAGCCAAATTCCTTACCCTGTGTTCATTCTCAGCTGATGACTTTGCGTGTATTTGACTGAGAATATAGAGGCAGTCAGATGGAAACAAATGTCACCTGGCCACCACATCTCCAAGTCTCACTGTGTTGGTACCTCTGCTCTCAGCCTTGCCAACTTGTTACCATGGGTGAAGTAGCTCTGTTTTCCTCTTTTGCCCTCTCAAGGATGTTGCTCCTGGAAGTATTCTCCTCTCTCTCTTGCATTTATCATTTCTCTCTCTTTGTAAAATTAGTTCCACCAGAATGCTGATATTCTCTAGAATCTTCCACCTTAAAAAGACAAAAACAAAAACTCCTTTTACTTGTATTTCTTTCCTCGCCAGGACCCATTTCTCTGCTCTTCTGAAACGTTGTCTGTAGTCACTCTCCCTACTTGCTCATGTTGTCTCTCCTCAGTCCCTCCGAACAGGCTTCCACCTCCACTGTTTTGCTGAGACCACCCATGCCCAAGTGTGCTTGACCTCCGTATTGCCAGCGCAGTGCCCTCTCACTGTTTCTTTCTGACTTGATCCTCTCTGCAGCATTTGAGAAGTGAACTACTACTTTCTTCTCTTGGCGTCTGTGACATCACCCTTTCTTGGTGTTCATCCATATCATTGGTCACACTATTTCCAACTCCTTTTTTGATTCCTTCTATGCTCGAACTGTGCCAGTGCGTTCATTAAGATAAGAGGAGAAATCAGGAGATGGTGGTGTGTTGGAAGCCAAGGGAAGGAAGTGTAAATCCCAAAGGCTGAGTTGAGAGTGGTCTTCACCAGCAGAGGACAGTTGAACCCAGTGGACTGGCAACCTCACAGCTGCATTCAGTGACTTCCTGGTGTCAGAAAGAGGGGGCTAGAGCTGCAGTAGAGGAGGTAGCTATTTCCAAACATTCATGGCAGTAAGGAGGGTCTCAGATCATTTCTGCTTGGGTTACACTGGTTGTAAGAAGCTACCAGCAAGAAGGAAATGCGTTAGAACTTTCCATAGAGCTAAATAAAAATGAACATGGAGAGGAAGTTATTCTGCATCAAAGACATCTTTGAGGAAAGGAAACAAAGATGGACAATTATGTAAATAAAGCCATTCAGCTTAGAGAAATACGTAGGACATGGAGAGAGGGCGAGAAAACAGATTAAATAAAAGAAAATCTGCTTTTTAGTTCAGCTCACCTTAATTCTTAGGCCTCTTTAATAATAATATTCCTTCACAGGCACGTGAGAATTTGCAGAACTATTAGTAATAGCAGTGAGTTTGGAGGCAGTGTCATTGCTTCTCGGAGTATAATTCCAAAATAAATAAGGGACCCCAGGCAATATAACAATGTCCGCAGTAGTATTTTTCATGGTAACTGCAGAGAGGGGGTCCATGTGGCTTTTTCTTACAGATGAAAAAGAATAAGGACCTTCACCCTCTTAGAAACAGTTGTGCATCTGTCAAAACTACCCTGTCACAAAAACCAAATCTGGCTTTTCAAAGTAAACATGTTATTTTCTATGTAATTGCTGTAATTAGCTGTGGGGGCATCACTGACCCATTAGCAGAAAAAACAGATGGGGTGAGATTTGTCTTCATGCATGAGCTAGGATGTTGTGAAAATATTAGAAATTGTTAGCCATAAGCTCAGTCAGCATGCTGCAGAGCCGGAATGCTGAGTTACAAATAGTGGTAGAAACAGTACACCCAGTCTACGAATGACCTCTTTTAGTTACACAGAATGATAATTTTAGGTGTCTTTCACCGTGGCTAATTAAAAAATGTGCAGATCGCAGAATCAGTTCAAGCGAAAATTTGAGCAAACTTCTGAGCAAAAGAAAGCACTACCAATCCCCAGACCTGTTCCCACCTATGGGGCCGATGGAGCTGCCCAGTGGCCCAGCAGCCTTGGCAGGAAGCTTGGGGACCATTCCGCCCCTTTCTGCCCTCCTCTCCACTCCTTCTGCTTGGTCTCTGAGTCTGCCTCCAACTCAGGAGCACCTACTTTCAGCCTCACTGTTGTCTTGGGTCTGGGTGGGCAGGTGGTGAGGGACTAAAATTGTGTGAAATGTTAGGATTTTGGAAGGGGGCTGGGGACTGGCATGTGTAAAAAGCACCCCGGGGGATTTGGAGTCGCCCTGCCCCTCAACGCTGTTAAGAGCCTTGGTATAATAACAGAATCTCAAGATCATAGGGATACAGGTTCTTTCGCAGCAAGAACAGATTTTCCAAACCCCAAATGCATCATTCAGTCAAAATAAAAGAGCAAAGGCACTGGGAAGGAGACATGAGAGAACAGGAGAGAAAGCAGGACAAGCCAGAGACATGGATTTGAGATGCTCCATGCAGATCTTTGACCCCGTTGCACCCACCTCCCCCAGGCTGTCTCTGGGCAATTCAGTACGACTCTGCCCACTCCCAGCTGTGCTTCCTCCTCTAAAGGATATTCCAGCATCATTAGTTCTGTGTCTTAGCTCTGTTCCTAAACCACAAGCACCCAGAGGGCAGGATTGTATCTTTCCTTTCCACCCATCTAGTGCCAGGTACCAGCCTGGCCAAGCGTAGGCACTAAGCACGTGTTGCTGAATGCAGCAAGTGAATGTGTGTTTGTATCGCCACATGGCTGTCTCTATCAGCATGTCCCAGAAGCACCTTAACTTCAGTGTGACCCAAATTGATCCTATTATCGAGATTCTGCTCGGCCTTATGCTTCCATTTCTGTACTGGTTGGTGGAATCGGTCATGCAGTCAGAGCCCTGGTGTCTCCCAGTCTTCATACTACTCGACCACTCAGTGGCCACTCACTCACTTAATCCTTTTTAAGCTTCCTTGTTCCCTGAGACATGATTCTCTTCTGATTTTCCTTCTACCTTTCTGACTGCTCTTCCCCTGCCAGTACAGTTCCACAAGTCCAGGGCCCTCGGTCCTTGTGCTGTTGTGTGACCCCCTCAGTGATCCCATCCACAGGATAACCGCCAGTTCCACCCAGGTCCCAGCAACCCTCTGATCTCTAACTCCAGCCCCAATCTCTTCAGATGTGGACCCACTCACTTCCTAGACCTCTCCACTTGGCCAACATCTCAAATTGAACAAAAAGGAATTTGTCTTCCTTCCCCATCCCCCAGCTCAGTGAATAGAACCTGTTGTTCTGGCTGGAGGTCTGAGGGCATTCTTCACACCTCAGTCTTTTTCGCTGTCCATATCCAACCAGTTCCCAAATCCTGCTTTTGCCTCCAAATTGTCTCCAGGATCCAAAAGAATTCTCCTTCCTCCCTACCCTAATCTAAGCTGTCTTGATTCCTTCCTGGACTCTATAGGAAGTCTGCTCATTTGTCTGTCTACAATCTCTTTGACCTCATACAGTGTATTCCTTGTATTAAAAAATCAGAGCTATTAAAAACAAAATAAACTTGCAAATCTGCCCAGGTCACTTCCCTCTTGAGTTTCTCAGTGTCTTATAATTAATCATTGATTAAAGATAGAATGCACCATATCAATCCAGACATGCACATACGTGATATGTATCTGTGATAAATGGGATGAAAATAGGGAAACATGCAAAATGCTGTATATGCAAATGAAGGCGTGGATCATGTCACTAGGTGGAAAATGGTATCTTAACAGTGAGTTCCTAGTGCTCTGCGCAGGTAGAGGACTGTCCCTGGGTAAGTGCTTGGGGTGGAAAGTGGGATACGTATGCCCTCAGTTTTCAGTGGGGCAAAGTCATCAGAGAGGCCCTGGGAGTTGGCCAAGCAGTTCTGTAGATCAAAGATGAGGAGTCAGGGCACAGCAGGACACGGGTGCTGGGTGGGGAGCCTGCTATTGGTTGGAAAGAGGACTTTTGTGGAACAGGAATGTCTAAATTGGATTTTCAGCTGGTAGGTGATAGGCTGTGTGCCCCTGCTCCCTGACTTCTCGCCCACCCCCAACTCCTGCTGCCCGTAAGCTCTTCGGTGAGATCTACTATAGAGGTGGTTGGTCTCTTCATTGTTGATGTTGTTTTAAGTGAAAATGGTGAAAGGGTTGACTTTCCTTTGTGGATTGATGCAGTGCAAAACAGGCTGCAACAAGGAAGCAGAGACTGAAAACTGTTAGTCTCTATAAGCACAGATTCACAGGCTTTTGGGAAAGGCTTTGGGCTTCAAAGGAAATAGAGGTTTGAACCAGTGTCGATTTGAACCTAGATTTTGCGTGGTGTGGTGCCTCCTCTCACCGCCAACCATCTGGGTTACGCTAGGATTCTCCTGGGCTGGGGAGGGGTCAGGGACCATCTAGAGGAGGTGACTTTTGAACTGAGCCTTTTAAGAAGATGAGTAGGGATTTTCGAAGTCAGAGGGAGGCATTCCAGGGGATTGACTATAATGCAGGAAGACACAGAGTTGAGAAAGGTCCTAGCTTTAATGGTTTGTGACCCACACAGGTTAAATGGGGCCCTGCCAATAGCTGCGGTCCAGAATTATACACAGTTACAGCGCAGCTCTTTCCAGCCACATTTAGATCTGTCTTTTTAGCATTAGCCAAGATGCCCATTTCCCCTGCAA